AATCTATATAGAAACGCTTCTCTAAAATACATATCTAGTTATATAATAGTATTATCGACCTCATTTAAAGCGTTTGTTAAGAAAGGTGGAAGCTAGCTACTTGCTTGTTAAAGGTGCTTGCCCGTAATGCAACTATGAATCTCATGGAGAGTTTGATCCTGGTTCAGGATGAACGAACAAAATAACAATATAATGAAATGTTTTAAAAATTATAATTATGTAATGAATTTTTTAAAAAATGTCATAGTAATAATTAATATGACGCGTTGTTTTTTTAAAAATAAAATTAAATTACGACTCATATACAACAGTGTAGACTTCTTTTTATATTATGATGATAATATTTTAAAAGTACTTTTAATATAGTCATTTTTGATGTTATCGTTTTAAAGCAAACTGCAATTAATTTGTTCCAAGTAGCTAGCTTTCTTAACGAACCGAACATTCCCAAACAAAAGCTCGTTTGAGCTCGTTCGTATTCAGTAAGAGCTCATTAATTCGTCTTTTGTTAATCAAGTCGAGATCAAACAGAAAACTAGATTCGTTTAATAGTTGAACAAACATGAACTTGTTCGCAAACATTCAATAATGTTCACGAACATTAATTCAATAAAATTTATTTTTATATGTATAAAAAAAATCTAAAATATGAAGTTATATTTATTTAATTTAATTTATTTTTTATTTTCGAGCTCGAATGAGTTTGAAAGAACATCTCGTATTAATCAAATAGTTTTAAAATATGTATTCACGTGGTTGGACCCAGAGCATTTGGAGAAGGTCAAATCTACCTCGTATTCTGAACGGGCCTAGCCAGGCCTGGCTCGTTGGCTGAGAGGGCTAGGTCCGAGTCTCAAATTCAGCCCCGACCTGGCCTGCCCATGCCTGACCGGCGCGGCTGGGCGCTGTCACGTGCACTGGGGACTGCGGTGCCTCGCGAGCGCTAGGCGCGGGCACGGACAGGGGCACTGCCTGGCCCCTGCGACGCGGCACGGGCACGGCACGCGCGACTGGCGCGGCTGGTGACTGTGTTTACGCACATGCTCCCGACACTTGAAGTTGAAGAGTACACATCCGAGATGGCATTGGTGAAGGCCGAGATCGATTCGACATGCTCCACGGATACGAATGCGCTCCCAATTACAACATTCCGAAGCACATTCATAACATTGGAATGAGACATCTTCGAGATTTTCACAGATGATAACTCGAGTGATGTGGGCATTGGTGCGGTGCTAGTCTTCTCCCAATTATTCATGAGTGCGTGGAGAACGAAGAGATTAATATCTTGTAGTCTGGTCTTTAATCAAACCAGTCTAATCCTAACCCTATATTAATTTATTGAAAATATTATATAAAATTTAAATTATGTAAAATTACATAAAAATGTCACTTAGTGCACAGCACGCGCGTTGCACATAACTGATAATGAATTACATTATATTCATTTCAAAATTAAATGATTAATTTAAATAATTAAACTTAGAATAAAATTCATTGATAAATTAAATTAAATTAATTTTTTTTAAAATTTAATTTAATTTAAATTCACTCTACTATAATATATTTTATTTTACTTTATTTTAGTTTACTTTTTATTTTTGTGTGTAGTCGCTTGATCATTTATTTGATATGCGAGTTTGTCCACCCCTTCCTGGGCCGATTTTTTGTTAATGTTTATATTATAGTAACATATATAATATATGTAAAATACTATAGTAATATATATAATATATGTAATAATAAGGTAACTAAATATATATATATACATAATACATATATACATAATACTTATATATATATATATACATAATACAATATATATATATATATATATATAAAATATAATATAATATAATATAATAAGTTAATAAACTAACCAATACATGTATTATAAAATGAATTAATTAAGAAACTAATATAAAAGCATAAATAAACAAGAACCAGAGATAGGTGAAGAGCCCTAGCCGGTCACCTTCTCCAACTCGCCGTTGTATCTCCACCTCTCCCTAACATCCAACCCCACAGGTAATTCATCCAAATTATACTCTTTCTTTATGTGTGTGTGTGTGTGTGTGTTCAATTACCTATTTGTTACTCCCAATAAGTGGAGAATTTTCATTTCTCCACTTTCACGCCGTCGTCCCGTCCTTTCTTTCATCTCAAATCCAGACCACGCCGCCCACCGGAGAGGAAATTAAAGTGCTCGACGTCTCCTCTTCAACCTCGCAAGACGTAGCCCTGTCCTCTCCTTCTTCTTCTCCAGTTCACGCCAGAATAAGAGCTCGACGTCTCCGCCTCAGCCTCCGCCTCGATGTCGTAGCGTGGTAAGCTTACTTTTGCTTCTAAATGTATGTTTATTTTTGTCTTGATTTTTGTTCTTCTAGCGATATCTGGGACTGACTTTTGTGGAGTACAGAACTGTTGCTTTTTTATGCCCTAATTCTTGGAATCTGATTCTTCCACTCTCAGTCAGGTGCGGTCATTTTGTTTCATTTCTCTACGCTTGATGTATATGGGTGCATACCAGCATCTAGACATCTTCAAGGAATTGAAGGTTATCTGGAAATATACTTTATTGTTTCATTTGTAGGATAAAATCTTGCAATCTACCGGTAGAGGACACAATGTTACAGTTACAAATGATGGAGCAACCATCTTAAAGTCACTGCACATTGAAAATGCTGCTGCTAAGGTCCTTGTTGGTATCCTGGGTTCCAAGTCATACATTGTGGTGTGGGTTAATTGTTTATAGAGTTTATCCTCATGTTCGTTTTTAGACATTAATATTAATATATAATTGATATTTTGAATACTAAAGTACCATTTCTCTAGATGAAAATTCATGAGGATGAGAAAGTACTAGAAGATTCATCAGGAAAAAGAACATTTTGCAAAACTAGTTGTTGATGCAGCCATGAGATTAAAGGTATGAGCATTTTGAATTCGTACCTTGTTAACTCCAGGCTTTAAAAGGTCACATGTGACATTTCTTACAATCCATATATGAGTTATAAATTTGTATTTTGTTTTGAAAATGTATTATTACTTGGCATTGGCTGGGTTGATATTAGCTTTAATATGACATTGAGTTGGAATATAACCGTTCTCATATTGCTGCCCATTATCTTTGTTAATGGGTATTAGTTTATAATTTTAATTGCTGTCACTATTTTGGATATATTGTGTTGAAAGCTTGCTGATTTCTCGCTGATTTAATTTGTTATTTTGGAAATGACAGGGAAGTACAAATTTGGAATCCATTCAAATTAAGAAGCCCGGTGGTTCACTGAAAGATTCATTTATGGAGGAGGGGTACGACAGTTGAATTTTCTTGCTTTACTTTTAACAATCATATGTATTTGGCTTTCACCATTTCTAAATTAACTTTAGTACCTGCTTAGTAGATCTATATGACTCATCATTTGAACTACTCAGCTAGAGTTATGGCACACTTTTTAGGCTAAGGCGGCAGAAAGGTTTGCAAAACCCTTAATCCTTTAGTTTATTCTTAACCACTAAATGTGTTTTCATTCAAATGTTCAGGAGACTCGGGAATCTCTTGTGGATGCTCTATCAGAAGTGTCCGAGTGGCTGCATTTACAGGTTTGTTGTCCTGCACTTTTTTTTCAATTAAATGGAAATTAATTTGACTTATGGAGCAAATCTTATGATGAAAATTATATTTTTTGCATAAAGGTCTGGTTCTAATGATGAATGTCTGGACACTTCATCCGAATGGTGGTTTGTTGATTGCATTAATGATGCTGAGATGCAATTCGGCACTGAGGTCGCATCTTGAGTATGATGCTTCTACTGCTCCTCCACCACAATATATTGAGAGAAGTACAAGTACAGACATCGTCGTGTTACTTTCAAAGCAGTCTATGGAACAAAAAATGGGAAGCCTAAATGTGTATTTGTTGCATTGCCAGAATATTGTTTAGGTTTCATGATTTGGCATATTTGAATATTTGTGTTTTGAATTGTAAGACTATTGGTGTGTTTGTTGGATTCTAGAATATTATAAGTTGAGACTATTTTAATTATTGTGCAAATTTATATATATTCTGTAAATGTATGGTTTGACAGGTAAATATTGAAAAAGACAAATTTGGGATGGCCAGGTTGCGTGTTCGACATGTTGGACCCGTCACGGGTCACACCCCAGTGTGAACACTCGCAGTATATAAACAAACAACCAGGACGAGGTTGTTTATATACTGCGAGTGTTCACACTAGGGGCGGTACCGTAATTAACCAACTATTTAAGTGTGAACGCAGTGTTCACACTAGAGGCGGTACCGTAATTAACCAACTCTTCAAGTGTGAACGCAACAAACCAAGTAATTACGGTACCGCACTAGTGCGGGCCTTTTGGGGTCTATTACTACCCGGCCGACCTGACCCATTGCCATCCCTAATGAAATCGTTTCAAAATAGTGTTGCTAAATACATAACCACGACACTATAAAAAAAGTGTTGGCGCATTAAAATTTATAAACGCATAAATTTTGTGTCACTAGAACTCGTTATAACAACACATGTAATAAAGTGTCACATATTGAAATTTACAACGCACATGTGGTGTGTCGCCAAATTTTATAATGATGACGCACTAAAAAAGCGTTAGCATGATTATTACTGACGCAAATAACCTGGGTCACAAATTCTTTTGTAACGCATTAGAAAAGTGTCACGCATGAAAAATTACCTACGCTAAAGTCATGCGTCGTAAATAATTTCGTGACATCAAATTTAGCAACGCAACTCGCGACACTTTCAATAGTGTAGGTAAATTTTTTGTGACGCTAAAAAACGTCATTAAACAAAAAAATAAGCGTCGCCAAACACCTTTTTTCTTGTAGTGTCTCCTGTTTCAAATCAATTCCAATTTACATTTTATTTCGTGTAATGATGTTTTTGTACATGTGTCATTCATTCAACATAATGGAACATAAATTTTGACACCATTTTGAAACAAATAATCTTTTCCACCTTGTCACTTGAAAGCTCGTACAAGTGTTCTTTAATCTTTTGTTAATATAATTAGTTGATTTTCAATGTTAGTCTAAAAAATATGCAAAAATAACACTTAATTACTTGTTTACTTTTATTCTATTTTTAGGTTTATATATTTATTTTGCATTGATCAATATCAGTAGGTGTGGCTCACTCATTAAATCAACATACACCTAAATAAATATATTTGAGCTTACGTTCCATACCAGTAGGGCCGAATCCCTCCTAATTTTCCAATAGAGAAAACTATACAATTTGGGTTCAGAACTTGTTTTGTTCTCATATTTATGAATATTTTATTTAAATTACAAGTTTACTAACTTTTATAATTCATGTATGGTTGATTATTTGTTTATTTTTGTCATTGAATTTAGACTGCATTATTTTTATTCTTTTATGGTTTATATCTAGAATGATTTTATTTTAAATATTTTTATTTTTACAAAAATATTAAAAAAATAGTGTAATAAATGTGTAAAATAACATTGCGCCTTATATTAAGCTGGGCTCCTATGGAACCATGTGTAGCTTACAATTTGGGCCAAGTAGCCCATTTGCAGCCTTGATATGGTATGGACATTTTGTGTTTTTTTAATAACAATATTTAAACAGGATCATACTACAAGTATATAATAAATGTATATACAGGTGTATAAAATACGCACATTGAGTGAGGTCCACTTAATTTTTTAATTTTTGTAAGACTCAATCTATGTGAGTGTTATGTACACATGTATGTACATGATTACGTACATAAAACATTTTTCGCAAAATAAATCTGATGGAATGCATTTAATATGCATCTGAATTAAAAAATAAATAAATGAAAAATGAGGTGGCCCCAACTTTAATTATTATTATTATGAGAAAATAGGGGAATCTATAGGAATTATGTTAGGCCAAATAGTTAGATATTTCATGTGCCGTTTATTTGTTTATTTGTGTGGCCTCGTCTCATGTGCGACGGCAATAATCAACTCAACTTTGTCGGCTAACAACCAAAGTAAATGTGATCTAATCTAATGATAATTCGATTTTGTGCACTTCTATAAGATCTAAGTGGATTTTGAAATAAAATACAAATATTGGGAAATCAACCTATAAGGGTCATTAGAATTATGAAATAATATTTGATGATATTTGTTATTCCTTCCTTTTTTTTTTTATAAATGTAGTTTTGAGAAGTTGCACAGTAATTAATAATTTTTTTTGTCAATAACATCACATGTATAGACGAGATGAGACTACCTTAAATTATTGATACTTGAGTTTGAACTCGAGTTGCACTAAATCGAATTTTAAATGAGCCGATAAACGAGTTCAAATTTGGCACATCTATTAATATTAATAAGTCGAACATAAATTTTAACGAGTTGAGATATATAAAATTAAATACAAACTTTTATAGGCTTAACATGCTGAATCTAAACCTAACGAGTTGGATTTTAAAAGTTACATACAAATTTCATATTTTTCGAATCTTAATAATTAGAACCGAGTTAAGCTTATAAATAGTTTGCTTTATGTAACAGCTCTTATAACACACCTTATAAATAAGTACACTTGAATATTACTTCTTGAATAATCTTTATACATATAATATACTCTTACATAACTATGGAGTTATTTCAATATATATTAATTTTTAGCTTAATTAACTAATTAATAAATTTATCCTATTCAGATTAGTTTGGTTTTATATTATTAGATTTTAGAACAGTTCGAGTCACGCTTTTATATTCAAGTAAGATAATTGAAATTTAATGTTTCCATTGACTGATCAATTGACTTTACTAAATATCTTAATGTTGATTTTGTTTTTCTTCAATATAAGTTATAAGCTATCATCTATGTTATACATAAAATAGCCTTTACTCTGGGCCCAAATTATGGAAAAGAACAATCCTCCATCGCCAAGACCACGTCGATCCACGTTCGCACGGGGCGTCGATCTCTCCATATTCTTTATCCTAGAAAATTGTCGATCTCGCTACGGTATGAACGAAAATTAAGGGCTTGATTGTTTATGAAATAATTTGTTCAAAATGAGTTATTTAGGTTAACAATAATTAATTTTAAAAAAAATGGTATAATTAGTTGTTAGTAAAATTTTAAAAATGAATTAAAATAATATTTAAAATATAATGATTAAAATTAATTTAATGTAAAAGTAGGAGATAAATGATTGTAAATGATAGGTAGTTAAAATTATGTGAGTGGATGAATAGTGAATTAAAATTAATGTAATGTGTAAGAATGATTGATTTGTATTAATGAATTATATAAATAATATTAAAGATAGTAGAGCTGAGTTAAAATTTAGTTAGATTTTAAATATAAAATAAAGTTGAGTAAATTATTCAATAAACAATCAAGCCCTAACAAATCAAACTGTTAAAGCGACCGCCCAATCGATACCACAATCAAAAGAAGAGTTTTGTATGAAATGCGTGTCATTCTTCTATGACCTTAATTGCCCCTCGTCATGATTATTTTATACTTTTTAATGTATAAATTCAAAAACTCTCGTCTCAAGGTACTTCCACCATCTCGTCGATTCCATAGCAAGTCCCCAGGCTCAAACAAATAACAACTAACACCGGGAAAAATACATCATAAATACACTATTATTCTTCTTGTCGATCTCTCTCTATGGATCGGCAACTTCTTGTGTCATTNNNNTTTTCAAATTCTCTTGTAAATCGTTAATTTATTCAAGCTCTTTTATAATAGCAACAAATCATTATAACGTAAGTCCCTATTATTTTGTAATTAAGTCGCTCCGTTATTGTGGCTGACGCCCGAACGTCAACAATTTCAAAATTAATTTATAAAATATCACTTAGATTTACAAAAAAATGTTTATTTATACAGTAGGTGTTGTATTAGACCGACCTAACAATTAGACAATTTTACTATTTTCACAAGTGTACATATTTTTATTAGAAAATATCCTACTTAAAATAAAATTAATAATATGACATAGTATAACATTTTTAATAGTATAAATAAACATTTTTGTCTTCATGAAATATGGCGGATCTGACCTGTATAATTATGTAGTTGGTCCACACAGTCGCACTAGATTTTGCAATTATGTATAAATGTATGAAGGTATATATAAGTCCCATATGATTTCATGAACGTGAAGTGTCACTGTGTCAGCCCTTTTCGCTTTAGGAGAGTAAAGACTAAAGTGCCATTAAATGGAAGCAAAAATATGATTCAATACTCACCATAGAAAAAAAAATAAAAATAAAAAAATGCTAATTTTTGTTACATTTTAAAAACTCATATTGAAATTTTTGTTTAAGCCAACTTATCAACTAATTTAACCTAACATTTCTTAAATATATCAGCTAATTTTTCGATTGTTATTTTCAAACTATCACCTATCAAGTCGATATTAATTAATGAGTTAAGTTAACTTATAAAATATAACTAAATTTCTAACTATCTAGCAAATTTGTTCACATATGTTATAATGGTTAACACAGTTATATGCGAAGATTCGTTATACTTATTAATAAAAAAAGTACACTTATATTGTATTAGTATTTAATATTTTTTTTATATGTGATAGTTTAATATAAAAATGAATATATGCATTAAAAAATATTATGAAAAACAAAACTGATTGATCAAACTTTCATGCCTATATGAAGTGTAACAACTGAATACAGACCTAAAATCTCAAAAATAAAAATAATAAAATAAAATGTCATATCTCCACCAACCATTGCTACCGTCCAAAGTTCAATTCCCTCATAATAGCAAGGTCAAATTTCACAATCAGTCACCTACTCTCATTATGGTACATCCAGTTTCTTCCTTCAATATGCGAGGCAAAATGTTCAAATATAATGGAGTTTCAACAATTCAACTAATATCAACATCAAGTATGATTTCACTATAATTGGTACTCGTGATTTTAACCGTCCGATTGCACACAATTAGTGCTTTTAATTTAAATGAGTCTGACTCGGCTCGAGCTCGATGCCTTAACAAGTCCAATTTAAGTTCATTTAAAGCTCGTTTGGTTAACAATTTGACTCGATAAAACTCGTTAAGACTCGAAAAAAGAAATTTTATACAATTTTCTATAGTTCGACTCGTTAAAGCTCGAGATCGGGTCGTTACGGCTCGAACTCAACTTGTTAATGTGATAGACAAGTCGAGTTCGAGCTCAATTTCTGACTCATTTACTTAACGAGCCGAACTCGGCTCGACTCGTTAAGAGCTCGAGCTCGAATTCGGCTCGACTTGTTTACAGGCGTACAAACAATCTATATATCCATACAAATGTAGGTGAACTCAACACATAAAACCCCATGCGTTATTACTCACTCAAATAAGGTCGACTTTGTCCAACATCAATACGATTATAAACAACTGATTATAGTCATCTATACTTATATTAAAAGGTATACCATTTACCGGATTTAGTATAAAAAAAAGTCAACAACATTTATTGCATTACTATTTACGTATTATACAATCTATACTTATATAAAAGGAGATTCTATTTACTAGATTTACTATCCAGAAAAATCAACTGCATTAAATGCCATTACTATTTTGGTATTATAATATTTTATTTATATAATTGATTTATTTATTTGTTTTATTTTAAAAAGGTAAGTATAATTTGATTATATTTGGTATTTGATTATACCAAATATATTCCTATTTAGTATATACATTAAATACTTACTAAAGTATTTATTTGTTTTATTTGTCAAAGTTAAGTATAGATTTGTTTATATTATCAAATCATAAAAAAATATTAAATTCATATTATAAAGAAAAAATCATATAATTTTATAACAATTCTACTACACTATTTAACAATATTTCTTTTTTATTATATAATAAAATAATAATTAAATATTATATGGTGAACAACAATAAGTAAAACTATTACTTTCTCTTATATCAAGAGATAAATTTATATGCTAAAATTAAATTTTTATTAGTATAAATGTTTTAGTGAGATAATATATTAATTATTTTACAAGCTAGCCCTAACATGCTCATATTTAATGTTTTAAAAGATGTAGAAAAAAAACTTATAATAACTCTATTGTTTTTTAGACTTAAACGTTGATTAAAAGGGTAAAAATTCCTAATTTTTTAGACTTAAACGTTAATTAACACTATAGATTGAGAGTTTATATTTAGTAAAATTCCTAATTGTAATAAAAAAATTAATTTTTGCTATATTTTAGTATATCTTTAAATTCATTATAAAAAAAAAGAAAAAAAACTACAATGAAAAAAGCAAGTCAACTATATATCGATTTGTTGTACTCCTCAAATCACATTCACAATTTGGCTACAAGGAAAGGAAACTCATTGATTAAAATATTATTTTAATGTACAAAAGACTTTAAGACTCCACTTGAATATTATAAAACTTTTATTGAACATTGTACAATTTTCTTGCGTATTATAAACTTTTATTGAATATTGCATCTTATAATATAATATTCTCTAAATAAACTTTTATTGAATATTGCATCTTATAATATAATATTCTGTAAATAAATATATCTCGTGCTTCGCACGGGTCACGTACTATATATATTCCGTACATTTTTCTTTATTCATGTATATAATTATAAGCCTGGATAAATAGCCTTAAAATTGTGCACCCCGTGCATCGCACGGGCTCTGTACTAATGTAGTTGAGGTATCACAGTATTACACATTTCATAAATATATATTATTTACCATACTATTACCGTCAAATGTCTTTAATGGATATACAATCATACTTTTTCCAACATAAGTACATAATTTCAAACTGAAATGTCACATTTTACGAAAATAGCATAAACAAAAGTATAATATTTCATAACATAAGTATGAATTTTTGTTACAAATGTATGACAAGTCACCCTGTCTAATGGTTAAAGTGTCTAAGATAATAATTCATGTGTGATTATAAAATTTAACTGTTGTCGACCCGTCAAATGATTAGGATGTCTAAGATAATAATTTTTGTATGAGGAAATCTATAATTAGGTCGACCCATCAATCTTTTTGAATAATATTACATATTTACACTATCAAATGTTATACTAATTGTTAGACAATCGATTCGCAATACTCTATGAACAATTTAACAATTTATGTTATTATTTAAAATATTACAATTTATTATAAATGCATAAATATTTAAATATTATACTTTTAGGCTATGTTTGGTTTGACAAATAAGCTAGCTTATTTGATTAGCTTATAAGCTCCCTGTATTTAAATAAGTCTCGTTTGGTAGGACGAACTTTTTTAAAAAGCTCGAACTTATTTCTTAAGCTACTTTAGGTAGCTTTTCAAATAAGCTAGTTAATTTTTTTATTTCAGCTAGCTTATCAACTTATTTTACCAAACACTTTCATCATATAAGCTAGCTTTTCAGCTATAAGTTATAAGCTATAAGCTCAAAAATTATAAATAAGCTATAAACTAACTTATCAGCTAATTTTACCAAACATAGTCTATAAGCTATTAGCTAGCTTATCAGTTAATTTTAACAAACATAGCCTTGTTTATGTTAATATAGAATATGCCAATTTTTAACGAGTGTGTAAATATTCGTGAATAAAAATATACAGATCTTATGACAATTTTTAATGAGTGTATAAATATTCATGAATAAAAGTATACAGATCTAATGATTAAAATGGCATCACAGAAGACTACTCAATTTAAATACTCCATATTAATTCAAGTAACAAAAAACTAGAAGTTGATAACATTTCCATACAGAGACAGAGGCAAACGCGAGAACATATGCGCAAAAATCTATGGTCTACTGTTGTTCTCCATAGTCTCCCAACAACTTTTGAAGCATAAACACACACACACACACAGTGTACACAGAGAAAGAGACAAAAAAACCATGGCTGCCACCTCCATTTCATCCGCCTCAACCAAGCTCACAACCCAAAATCAACTTTGCCGGCCACCGAAGAGAAGTTCAACCGCATCCGCCCACCTCTCATTCTCCGCCCCTTCCATTTCCCTCCAGAAGGCGTCCCTCACCGCCGTTCCCACAAATCTTACTCCACGCGCCGCCGTGATCTGCAATGTTCTCAAGACGGCCGAGAAATCGGAGCTGGCATCCAGGTCACCGGATCCGGATCTGGCCGCCGGATCGCCGAGGCCCACGGTCCTGGTCTCCGAGAAGCTTGGTGAAGCCGGGCTCGATCTGCTGCGCAGCTTTGGAAACGTCGAGTGCCTTTACAGCCTATCTCCGGAGGAACTGTGCGCGAAGGTCGCGGAGTGCGACGCGCTGATCGTGCGGAGCGGGACGAAGGTGACGCGCCAGGTGTTCGAGGCGGCTAAGGGGAGGCTGAAGGTGGTGGGGCGTGCCGGCGTCGGGATCGACAACGTGGATTTGCAGGCGGCAACGGAGTTCGGTTGCCTGGTCGTGAACGCGCCGACGGCGAACACGATTGCCGCCGCGGAGCACGGGATCGCGCTGCTGGCCGCCATGGCGAGGAACGTCGCGCAGGCTGATGCTTCCATGAAAGCTGGTATGATGCGATTACTGTATGAACCTTGTTGTTTTGACTTTTGATCCGGAATTTGGTTGGCCAAATTGACAGGGGGAGCTAATAGATTGAGTTCCGATTTTCATGTCTATTTTTGATTTTAATATTAATTTATTTCCATTGAAGTTAAATATCATATAAATTGAAGTCTAACAAGCTCCTTATGAGGGGCAACTAGCAACGCAGATCCAAGTACGGGGCAAAGTAGACCGTTGAATGTAGTTGTTCTTTGTTATTTGTTGTTCAAATTGTGTCAACGTTTATTTAGAGAATATCAAGAGAGTTGTATTTGACTACACTGATAGAGTATATATATGAACACCAACAATTTGCAGTTTTTGGATCTTTGCTTCTTGTCAATTGGATCTCCTCTTAGAATCTTATGCCCCACTGTCAGTTTTAACAGCTCAAAGTTGTTTTGCTGGATATTATACTCACATCAGGTAGATAAAGCCCAAAGTGGGCACTAGTAAAAATGTCAGATGTTAATGGTTATAGAAACTAATCAGTAGGGGTCGGTTTCCATATATGTGTTCGAATAATCAAATATACAGTTTGTTGTGGGATACCAAGGTACAGATATCTCTTAGGCGAATAATTTGTTGAAGAATATAAATATTGCAGAGTTTCCTGATTTCAAGAAGAGAAGTTCCAATTTCTGATATCCATATGCCCACTGTAAATCCTTCAGAGGCAGGAGTATAACTCAACTTGTTTCTTAGGCCAAAGAGTGTGCAAAGCACAATTGTAGGGCATGTACAAACTACCATCTTTTGAATGGTTAAAGAGAACGTAAGAAGATATTTGCACAGAAAATATTACATGAAGAGTCGTATTCCCAATTCGAGCTTGAAGATCTCTAATGAGATAATATACAAGGATACACTGCATAGGATTGGGGAGTATAAGTCTTGGAATAAACTCTTTTATCGTTTGAGTTAAATTCATTTACTCATCATTCTTAAAATGCTTCGGACAGGAAAATGGCAACGTAATAAATATGTTGGCGTGTCTATGATTGGCAAAACTTTGGCCATCATGGGATTTGGAAAAGTTGGTTCTGAAGTTGCTAGACGTGCGAAAGGTCTTGGAATGAATGTGATTGCTCACGACCCTTATGCTCCAGCCGATAGAGCACGTGCCATTGGTGTGGACTTGGTGTCTTTTGACGAGGCAATCTCTACAGCTGACTTCATTTCTCTCCACATGCCTCTTACTCCAACCACTAACAAGATATTAAACGATGAGACATTTGCTAAGATGAAGAAGGGAGTCCGCATCATAAATGTTGCACGGGGTGGTGTTATCGATGAAGATGCACTAGTGAGGGCACTCGACAATGGAACAGTAGCCCAGGTTTTTTTTCCCCCTTTCTCTTGAATTATTATGTATGCTGGAACGTATTCTATAAGAGTTCACCTTGATCTTCAGACCTCCTGTAGTTTTTCTGTCACCTCTGTCCTCATTCATGTTGGATTTTACTAAGTTGTATGACACGAGTGGTGCCCAACATTGATTTAATTGGTACAGACAAGATCATTTTATGTTCTTCAAAGCTCATATCATCCAGTTTTGAGTACCTGGTCAGAATTTTTGAATTGTTGCTTCATTTTCTAATTCTTCGAAATTGTTCATTCTGATATATATAGGCCGCCCTTGACGTGTTCTCAGAGGAGCCCCCACCGAAAGACAGCAAATTAGTTCAGCATGAGAATGTCACTGTTACACCTCATCTTGGAGCCAGCACAAAGGAAGCACAGGTATGATTATGCACTCAACATTTGGATTGCCATCAATATCTAGTTTTCTTTTACGAGTTTATTTATTTGATTTCCCACCTCAAATCTCTCATTGCATCAATATGCGTGATATTTGTTACGGACAGGAAGGAGTTGCAGTTGAAATAGCCGAGGCAGTTGTTGGTGCCCTGAGAGGCGAACTCTCGGCAACTGCAGTGAATGCTCCAATGGTCCCTCCCGAGGTAATCAAAATCCTTCAACTAGTATAATAATTACATAAAACCTGGACAGAAACAAATATACATTGTCCGAGCTTAGGGGTACTTTTGTAATATTACCAGGTCCTGTCTGAGCTGGCTCCTTACGTCACCCTAGCTGAGAAACTCGGTCGGATAGCCGTGCAGCTGGTCGCGGGAGGGAGTGGGATTCAGTCGGTCAAAGTTATCTACCGTTCGGCCCGTGACCCTGACAGCCTGGACACCCGCCTCTTGCGGGCCATGATTACGAAAGGCCTTATCGAGCCCATCTCGGATGCCCACATCAACCTCGTCAATGCTGACTTCACTGCCAAGCAGAAAGGCATCCGCATAAGCGAGGAGCGGGCTTTGTCCGACTCGTCCACCGAAAGCCCGATCCAATCCATTCAGGTCCAGATCAGCAGTGTCAAATCAAAATTCGCGAGCGCCTTATTGGAGAATGGAAATATTAGTATTGAGGGGAAAGTGAAATACGGGGACCCGCATCTGACCCGTGTGGGCCCGTTTAGTGTGGACGTGAGCTTGGAAGGGAATGTTATACTTTGCCGCCAGGTGGACCAGCCTGGGATGATTGGGCGTGTGGGGAGTATTCTTGCGGAGAGTAATGTGAACGTGAGCTTCATGAGCGTGGGGAGGGTGGTGAAGAGGACAAAGGCGATTATGGCGATAGGGGTGGATGAGGAGCCTGATAAGGATACGTTGAGAAAGATTGGGGAAGTGCCAGCTGTTGAGGAGTTTGTGTTTCTTGATCTTTAAAGTTTTTGTCAAGTCAACTTATATTTGTTATTTGTTATGATTTTCTTATATGGTCTTGTGGATTTTGGTTAGAATAATGAAACGGCATAAGTAAGCTGTATTGGTGCTTGAGAAAGCCCTTGCTGGGTTTTTTTTTTTTTTTCTG